CCTGCTGAATATAAAAAGATAAATCTAAGATTTGTTTCATGTAGAATATAAATCACACAATCCTTCTTGCATGATTAGGGGAGGTGGGTATTTCTTCTGTGTTGTGTGAAGGGGTTTTTTTTTTCACTGCCCTAAACAGTCAAAATATTTACTGTGAATAACTCATCCTTTCAATATGCATGCTTACTACCAATAGTTGACTGACTTCCTGGGAACTGATGAGTGATTTGTGAGCTTAAGTAGGATTTTCAGGAAGAAATTAATATTACGCATGAGGATAAGAGATTTAAAGATTCATGTTAAAGGACTGTCAGAAAACCCTTGTACCAGCAGCTTGAAGGCCAGTTGTCTTAACTTTTTTATTAAAAAGGACAAAATAATTTGTATTCATATTTTACAGAGAGAATACAGACAAGTTTTATTACAAATAAATACAGTTAATCGTATAATCTCGTTTGCTGTGCATTGTACCTGTATTGCATGAGCTGCATACTGATGCTTTAATCTAGCTAGCTTGGGACAGCTACAGTATTGAAGCTGTGGCTGCATAGATTTTGTCCATGGAATTCATAAGCTCAAGGCAGGGATGCTGAAGTTTCAACACCTATGTAAGGTGAGAGAGTTATCTTGAAAGTAGTGCAGCTTTGTGTATGCATGTACTGTTGCATCTCCACTTGCCACTTGCAATCTAGACGGACATTCTGTTATCTTCATTTACGACGAGGTAGATGAATTGAAACCTTTAGAATGGCCCAAACTTAGAAGGTGTGATAGCCAGATAAAAGCAAATATCAGTATACTGGTTTAACATATTTGTATATGCTCTTGAATAAGCTAGGAACCAAGAAATATGTGCTAGTTTCAGTCTACTGTTTCTGCAAGCTAACTGTCTATTGCTTGTGAGTTCTTGTTGCTGAACACTCATTGATTTGTGTTTGTTAGGATCGTGCGCATCGTATTGGTCAAAAGAAACCAGTACGGGTGTTTCGACTAATCACTGATAATACTGTTGAAGAGAGGATTGTAGAAAGAGCTGAAATAAAACTGAGACTGGACTCTATAGTTATACAACAAGGTATCAACTGCTATATATGTTTGTCTGCCACAGAATTGTTCAGTCCCTTTAAGTTGGGGTTAAATAACTGTACAAATGTACAGTATGACAGAAAGCAGGCCTTGTATATAATAGCAGTACACTAAATCAACGTAAGAAAGTATAATGTATAAGTTACTAATTTGTTCAGCTGAAATTTTTGAAGAAAATCTGTTTTCCTAAGAAATGGGAGCACAGACTTATACTAAGACTAAATGAAGAAAGCAAACTACAGCTGAATGGTTGTTACTTGGTTTTGTGGTGTGTTAAAAAGGATGAAAAGATATTTTCAATGACAGATTAAAATATTTCTATGTACTTCTTGCCACATGACTTTACTGAGCATTAAGACTGTGTTGTGTGCCTTTGTTTAGAAGCTCTTGGAAGAACAGTTAGAAACTGAGGTTCTCAAGCTAAGTTTTGGTTGTATTTCCTAAAGGGTGGGCTACTGAAAGGAAGATGGTCAAAATTTTGATGGTCTGTGAAGGACAAGATGGGATAATTTGGGGACAAATTTTATTATGTAAAAAATACTTAGAGATTTGGGTTGAAGTCAGTGTTTAAAGATCTTAAAGTACTACCGAATGGTTATTGCAGAATGCTTTGTCATTTTTCATCTTGAAATAAGAATTTGCTCAGCTAACTTTGTAAGAATAAGATCTTAAACCTAAAATTTAGAATATCCAAATGGAAGATATTCTTTAAGGCTTCATCCAAAGTTGTTTGTTTTTGTTTTTTTTAATTTCCCCTGAAGTCCCTGATATCCATTTATTTTCAGCTCAAGTAAAATGCAGTTTATTCTGCGGTTTTTCTTTCCTTGTTCTGCCAGTGATCTAAACAAAATCCACTGTTTGCATGGTCCTACAAGAACTTGTATTATCTCTTTCAAACATGTTTCTTCTAATTTTAGGAAGGCTTATAGACCAGCAGTCTAACAAACTGGCAAAAGATGAAATGCTGCAGATGATCCGTCATGGAGCCACCCATGTTTTTGCTTCCAAAGACAGTGAGCTGACAGAAGAAGATATAACCACTATTTTAGAAAGAGGTGAAAAGAAGGTTAGAGAACAGTTTTGTATGTAATTCTAAATGTGTCAAACATTATATATACATTAAATAAACATTAAATCTGATAACAAATATATTTTTTATGCCCAGTTATTACTTTAGTATTTGTAAATATTTTAAAGCTTATGAAAGTTGTGAAGGACTAGAATTAGTGAGTTATAATTGTTTTCAGAGTTCAGACTGCAACATATCTTAACCACTGTTTATTTTGTAGGCTTTTAAAAAGATGAAACTTTTATGCCATCGATTCAAATAGATAGAAAACATTTACGGATCTTTATTAGGTAATAGGTAGCTCAGTGGAAAAATGAGCTACCATTTTAGCTCCATAGGGTTGGGCATAGATTTGATTTAAAATTAAAAGTTAAGTCATGCAGTTGTAGGCCTACATCACAGCCTAATTTTACTTTAAGGGAAAGTCTTGGATTCAGATTGTTCAAAATTGGAAAGCACTATGGATGTCTGTCATTAGAAGGAAAATAAGTAAAAGTTATAAACAGAAAAAGAGAATACTTTGATAATGATGAAAGTTGTTTATTTTCAGAGAAGATGAAACAGCTTGAGTGAGCTTACAAGTGTTGTTCTGTATTTTCAGACAGCTGAAATGAATGAACGATTGCAGAAAATGGGGGAGAGCTCTTTACGGAATTTCACTATGGACACAGAGATGAGCTTGTACAACTTTGAAGGTGAAGATTATAGAGAAAAACAAAAGGTAATTTTTCTTAAAGGCTTTGAGCCTTTAGATGTGTGAGCATGAAGGCCATACTAGAAGTATTAAGGCTATAAAGGTTATTCTAGAGAAATAAGGATCTACTGAAAAATTCACTTAGCTCTGAGGAAGTATCAATATTCTGAATTTTTGTTAAATTAGCTGTCAGCCTGCTGTTTTTACTAACAGTAAAATCTGATAATATAGCTCAAAATTTATCCTTTCTGCAGCAAAAATCCTATGTTGCATCTTACTGTACTGCTGCAGTCTATATTATTTTACTGCCACATAACCATGAGGAAAAAAATGGCTTTATAATGATTTTATATGTGGAACTGGGACTTAAGTCTTTTTTCATGTTTAAGGTTAGTAATTATTTTTGCAACTTTAGGAAAGCATACAGATACATTCATATCTTTTTTTTCTGTGTATAGCTGAGCATGATGGAGTGGATAGAGCCTCCAAAACGAGAACGCAAAGCTAATTATGCAGTTGATGCCTATTTCAGAGAAGCCCTACGTGTTAGTGAACCAAAAGTCCCAAAGGTAAGAAGTTGGCAAGCGTGGAGTCTTTTTTGTTTTCATGTTGCACCCCCTGCCCTCACCCTATACTGGTAATAAAATGAACATATTTACAAAGTGGTGGGTTGCCACTGCTGCTGAACGATAGCAGTTGTATTGTACAGAAATCAAGTTTATATGCTGTTACTATGTGTATTTTTGAAGGCTCCACGACCTCCAAAACAACCCAATATTCAGGATTTCCAGTTTTTTCCACCACGGTTATTTGAACTTCTGGAAAAAGAAATTCTGTATTATCGTAAGACTATAGGATATAAGGTAATGATTTTTTTTTTTTTCCTTTCCATATTATTGAAATGTATTTGTATTTGTATTCCTCGTTGCAGATTTACTGCAACCTTGACAATAGCTAAATGAAATAAATGAGACTGCAATTAAAAATACGTTATTCTGGTCTGAACTTTTGTAAAGTGCTTCTCATTGTGAAGGAAATGGCTTAAAACCCCTATTCTTCCATTTCTGTTACACTACACAAAACAATTCCTTCCTTCATTAAAAGTTTCATTTCTGTGTAGCTTTGTGTTTTGTGGTGGGCTTCTACCAATAAAATAGAGTAGAAAAAAATAAAGGCAGTTCAGATGCTTCATATATTTCTCCTCAGAACCGAAAGTGGTCTAAGGTGAGAAAATACTTTTTGGCTTATACAATATGACCTTCTAGGCTATGACCTTTTCATTATCACTTTTGCATATCTTGCGTAGAAACTAACAATGTAATTTTCAAGTTGACTTTGTGTTGATAGTAAGTTATAGTAAGTTAAGTGACATCAATTTTTGCATTTTGTGGGGATGTAAAATGTTTAAATGTGTTGAAGTCTGCATGTATTACTACTACAAAAAGAAAACCAGACAACAGACTTATCTT